CTAGAAAACCAAAAAGTTTAAGGCTTAAAAAAAATTTGTCCTATCGAACGGACTATAGAATTTCCTTTTTATTGACACTTCAAACCCTCATTCATCACTCATGCTTTAATTACTATTTTACTATAAATGTGATGGTTATTTTTTTATACTTGGCATCTTGTGCTTAATTGAGGGGGAATATATTACTACTTTCTATGGTGGAGTTGAAGTTTTGATCTTATATGCTATATCCTTCCTCTCATATATGCTACCTTTTTGCATATGCCAAAAGTGGAAAATAAATTGAGATGACTATGCATGCTTTGATTTGAAAATATAACATGCTTGAAGTATATGAAAAAGGGGGAGAGATGGAAAATCGTTTATATGCTTTGAATGTATAGTTATTGATTTGAAAAAGCTATGGGGAATATGAATTCCATTTCTTTTATCAATTTGATATAAATTGTTCAATCTTAATTTACAAATCATCTTGTATATTATAATCAAAAAGGAGAAAATTGTTGAACTATGTTTGACTTCATCTTTAACGTTTTGATAATAACTAGCAAGAGTAATATTGTTTTTAACAATTGATTTTGAGTGATGATAATTCAATGATAAAATCAATCAACATGATATAAATATAAAACTGACATAAGATACAAATATTTCTGAGATTTAGAGTTCAAGAAATTTCTTAAGAATCCTCATATCCCGTAGGATTTAACATCTTTGATTAAATGGTCCATCCCGAAGGATTTAACATAGAGTTCGATCTGAAGGCCTCATAGTATTTTATGTTATAAATTATACAAACATCAAGAAATAAAAATTTACCACTTCGCACGATATATTCTTACCCTCCATTGATAATATGGAAGTGAATAGTGTGCGTGTGTTAAAATAAAAATGAACTTATAAAATTTGTAACACAAAACACCCTCACCTCACACCCTATATATAATCACTCGTACGTAACCTTCAAGGAATTCAAAAGGTTGGTGACATAATTCAAAATCAATAAGGATACTTATGAATTAATTAGGTTAATTATTTTGGTAATTATGTTAAAATCTTTTCAAATTCCTACATGAAAGTTTGTCTCTTTTTTCTTTTATTATTATTAATAAAAAATATTAAAGGTTAACACATTTTTTTTTATTAGAATAACTCGGAAAGGACTAACTCAAAATTATTTTTTCTTCAGCCCAAATTATATTATTTAGTATGAGTTACAAAATGAGTATAATATTTGATATATTTCATTAACTTCTAAAATATTTAAATATTTGACTCAAATAATTTACGATAAATTCTAAAAAACTCGTAAGCAAGGTAAATCTTTTATGCGAATTATTTCATTTGCTAAATGATCCATATTAAGTTTAGGCCCAAATGAAAAATATTAAAAAAAGTTTGGGGTGTTACATCCCTTCCCCCTTAAATTAATTTTGTCCTCGAAATTATCTTATTTAAACAAAAAGCTCTGAATACTTTGCCTTTATTTCCTTTTCTTTCTAGTGGTTTCATAAGTTCCAGCCACATCTATTAGATAAATATTCAATTATGTTTTATCTTTATTAGTCAACTTATACATTATGTTCTCGGGCTTTTAATATAATGACTAATCATCATACATTCATGTACATTAAACAAAATAATAACTTGCAAAGCATATCTCATTCTAAACATCGTAAGCATTTCTTGAATTCAAGCTTAAATAATACGTAAATCATGCTTGAAAGTAAGCTTAAACATATCATTGTCATTCATACCTTGGGTTCATTGGACGGTAGCTAATTGACGAGCGCTAAATGCCATGTGTCTTATTTTAATACTAGTTTTAATGAAATTTTCATACAAGTAATATAAACAAGTAGACATGTACTCAACATAAGTAGAAATCATTTTCTTAACAAGTTGAATAGTTGAATTGAAATAACTAGAGTAAAGTCATTTCATTTATTTTAGAAATTACCCTTCTCTTTTTCTTCTTCTTCTTCTTTTTTTTTTTTTTATACTAGAAAACAATAATAATTAAAGAACAAGCACGTATTTTATTGGGTTCCTAACTTTGAAGTGGTAGAAACAAAATTTATGAGTCTCTAATTCGAGAAGTAGTAGCAATATTAAATAATCAATTTAAAATTGTCAGCAACGTGTACATGTATGAGTATCTGACTTACATCAAGTTACAAATGAACACAAAATAAATTCTAGTAATTTCACAATCATAAATATTTAATAGACAAAACAAAAATTATATATTTATATTTCACGCAAACCACTAAGTCTTAATAAATTACCATTCACGTAAATCACATTTGAACATGGTGAAGAAATATGCGTACTTTTTTTTTTTTTAAAACGGTGAGTCTACAGAATCGACTAAGCTCGTGCTCTGATACCATTCCGTAATGCTCGGAGATCTTTTTCATCTTTATTATTTTATTCTTTTATAAAAATAGGCTCGATGTGTTACCAATATTTTCTTTGTCTAATTTAAGTGAAAATATCACTTTCATTAAGTGTTGAAAATACATAAAAATAACTATTAAACAATGTACACAAAATCCAATATGAAGATGTTTTTTTAAAAAAAAGTTTGTCAATTATCTTTTCTAGAAAATTTACTTGGCGACCCCATCAGCATCACTCGATCAATCTTCCACGCATCCGAACAACCCGTTCTAATCTGAAAGGTAATGTAAGAGTAAGTATTTTGAAAACACTCTGTAAGAATACATACACATTCTTATTCACATGATATAAATATAAAACTGACATAACATACCAAAATTTCTTAGATTTAAAGCTCAGGGAATTTCTTAAGAATCCCCACATTCCTTAGGATATAGCATCTTTGACCAAACGGTCCATTCTGTAAGATTTAACATTTTTGACCTAACGGTCCATCCTGAAGAATTTAACATAGAGTGACCCGAAGGTCTCATAGCATTTTATGCCAAAAATTATACAAACATCAAGTAATAAGAATTTACCACTTTGCACAATGTATTCTTACCTCAATTGACACCCAAAAAAGTGGTTTAAAATGATAATGTGGAAGTGAATAGTGTGTGTTAAAATAAAAATGAATTTTTAAAATTTGTAACACAAAACACTCCCACCTCACACCCTATATATAAATCACTCCCACATAACCTTTAAGGAATTCAAAAGGTTGGTGACATAATTCAAAATCAATAACCACTTATGACTTAATTAGGTTAATTATTTTGTGAATTATGTTAAATATCTTTTCAAATTCCTATGTGAAAGTTCGTTTCGTTGTTGTTGTTGTTATTATTATTATTATTATTATTATTATTATTATTATTAGTACTACTACTACTACTACAAATAAAGGTTAACACATTTCTTTTTATTAGAATAACTCGGTAACTCAAAATTATTTTTTCTTGAGCCCAAATTATATTATTTAATATGAGCTACAAAATGAGTATAATATTTGATATATTTCATTAAATTCTAAAATATTTAAATATTCGACTCAAATAACTTACGATAAATTCTAAAAACTCGTAAGCAAGGTAAATCTTTTATGCGAATAAGTGGGTTGAACTTATCTTTTAACCTTTCGACTTTTAGTGGACGAAAAATCTAAGCATGAATTATTTCATTTGCTAAGTGATCCATATTAAATTTAGACCTGAAAAATAGTAAAAAGAAAAGTTCTAGGTATTACATCTTCTATTTTATAACATCATATGAATAGTTGACTAAATATGTATATAAAACTGGAATATCTTTTACTGTCTTTTTCACCTTAACCAAGTCCAATTCCTCGCTAAGCTTTGACACCGAATCATACGAGACAAAAACTTAAAAAAAGACAAAAAAAAAATAAAAATAAAACACTTCTAGATGCTTTTGTGGTTTTGCCCAATTAATAATTTTACTTAGATACCAACAAAATAATGAATTTCACTCTAGTCAACACAAGATAATTCGATTATATTAATTTCTATGTTCTTCAAAGTTTAAATAGTGAGAAGTTACTAATATTTGTTCCTTGTCTGGGGTGTAATGGAAGATCTATGTGTGGAATGTACCTACATGTTCGGGTCGTATAATTTGATAATTTTTTCGAGCAAACTATCTGGCAGATTCTAATTTATAGAACATTAATTACTAATTTCATCCTTAACTAAAATATTAAGTTTTAAGACTTGTGGTTTAATCTCAAAAAGTCAACATTATTAAGAGTAGTTCATATTTATGATGTGAGATTTTATTATTAATATTTCTCATGGACATGGTAACTCGAGTGAACACATCAGTCCTTAAATTTGAATGCTCGTGTGAAATCTACAAAGAGTTCAAACTCATATGCTATAAAATCACATGAAACATGAGTTGCCTTCCTAAAATAGTTTTAACATCAATAAGAGGAATAATCCAAACTTAGTTAATATTTTTATATTTATTCAATGTTGAATTTACTATTTAATAATTGGAAAAGGAAATAATGAGGTTAACACTATAACATTAAATGACTATAAATGAAATAAATCATTCGAACGTGACGTTCTTGCAGGGCCCATCAATTGAGCTAGGTCACTCAAAAAGACATAATTGTCTTGCAGCCCAAAAATCAAATAAAAAAACTGTTTTGCCATAAATAGGTTTGCTTTGATACGTATGGTTTACTTTTCGATTACTTTGAATATGTTTTCTACATGTAATTGTGCGTGTTTCAAACACGAGCATGCATATAATATTTACACAAAAAGTTAAAAACTCTAATTAGCGTGTTTGAAGGAAGTCAAATAATTGATCCTCGAAGTCCAACATTCCGATTTGAAAGAAATGTAGAATCCTTCAAACATCAGAAAATTAAGGAATTTCTTCCCATATATTTTTCATCCTATATATACCCAGATAACGTAGAAGCGTAATTACCAAGATCCTATTTCTATATACAGAACGCAGAGAAAAAAACTTGAATTCAAAACCATATATAACAAGGAAATTCTAAACTTATATTAACTGCCATGCAACGATCTGCAACAGCTCGAAACAACATTTGCAGCCAAATTCTTCTAAGCAGAAGAAAAATGCAAACAAATATTAATCTGCGGCCCTACGACGTTTTCATCAGCCACCGCAGAATTGACACAAAAAATAGTGTTGCCGGGCTGCTGTATAATTACCTCAGCCGGCAGCTCCACCTCCGGCCGTTCTTGGACAGCAAGAACATGAAGCCAGGGGACAAATTGCTTGAAAAAATTGACATGGCAATCGGTCAATGCAAAATTGGGATTGCTGTGTTTTCTCCACGATACTGTGATTCTTATTTTTGTTTGCACGAATTGGCTCTTATGATGGAGGCTAAAAAGAAGGTGATTCCTGTTTTTTGTGATGTAAAACCTTCTCAACTTAGGGTTAACGATGATGGGATTTGTCCGGCTAGGGATTTGGACAGTTTTAGTATGGCTCTTGAAGAGGCAAAATACACAGTTGGACTGACATTTGATACACTGACAGGGTAAGGTCGTAATTTTGTATTCGATCAATCTTGTTTGCTTTTTGTATATACTTTTCCCGTAACAAAACATCATTGGCGGACGGAGGTGGGAGAGGTCTCAAGCCTTCACCAAGAAAAAAAATTATTCTAATGACATTTTTCTTTTACTTTTCATTTTTAATATTACTTTTCACTTTTTTTGTTTAAGATTTCTCTTCTTAGTTAAATTATGTCTTCACTAAATTCGAATCCTGACTCCATTGTGGAACATCCTCTTAAGTATGAACAAGAATGGGTCCTAGTATCGTTTTTGAGTTTAGACTCAAGTCTAGTGCAGCACGCTGCACACCTTTACGTACACACGAGTCAGTCCATTTGATGAGACTGTTTTGCCTCGTCCATGACTGTGCCGGGCTGATCGAATTTTACACCTCTATGTAGCACATATATGTAAATATGTTAGTATCATTCCATTTTCTTTATTCATATTTTGGGACCAAAATCTGAATTTAACGTTGTTTAAGTACATGACTATTGCAGGGACTGGTCTGAATTTCTTGCGAAAGCTTCGGATGCAGTGACTAAAAACTTGGTTGAAGTAGAGCAAGAGATACTCAGAAGGAAGCAAAAGTCCTTACCCTAATTTCAACACATGGCTTATCAAGAATTCAAACAATTAACCTCGTCAAATAATTAATTAACTAATTATTCATTTATTTTTTCTTCACTTTGAAGAGCCTAATGGTTCTGCAGCATTTCAACTAGGTGTAAAATTGTACCTTGTAATGGATCAATAAATACAAAGAAATATGCGGGATATGATTGATAAAAGAATCTACGATGCAACCAGCAATTTATTCAGTGTCAACTAGTGTACACTATTACGAAAAGTTTTGTTTGTCATCATTAATCTGATAAAGTATATTCTCATCACAGAGAGTTCGTAGCCTTGTTTGTTGTATATTTGAATTTGAATTTTATTTGACTTTCTATATTGTTTATTAACTGTAACATATAGTTAGAGTTAATTTCAATTTGTTTTGCTTGTTTACGTACTAATATATGTAGGAGAATTTGTCACTTCCATAATCACCGAATCTTTCATGTTAGATCATCAACAATGTATAAACTAAAGCGGAAGCGTACCTGAATCAGACATTGTTAATTGCAATAGTTGAATCTTATGGTTTAGTTTTTCAAATCAACACACAACCCTTAATTCTCTCTGGTGATGTGAGGTAGAGCAGAATGAACAGTACACGTGATTTGGAGACCACAACTATATTTATATATTGATGTCCTTTGACCTAATTTGACCCATCATAGAATTAGGAACCACAGCCTGGTCTCTATGCAAAAAATACCCACACTACAATTGGATGCATTAAAATTCAAAATACCGAAATCTTATTAGATCACTTTTAAATGGGTTTAACCGAATTTGATAGCCTTTAATTTAATACACAATAATTCATACATATAAACCCACATGATCGTTTCAAAAATTTCTTACAATCTCCCACTTGGGCTATTTGTATTACACTATAATTGTATATTAAACATAACCTTAAGAGTATTCAAAATTTTGCTATAATTACTTAACGCATCCCCAAACAATACGGTCCATCAATCATATCAACATAGGATTAAACCGACTTTCGCTACTTTTATTGTAATTAAACCCATCAATGGTCAAGTATATTAATATAACTGAATAACATGGATCAAGCATGGATGTGTAGCATGAAAATTACATATGACATGATCTGCAACACGTCTATTTCAAACTGGTCCACCTTAAAATCTTTGTGAGATCATTTTAAACAAGTTTAGAGATAATAAACCAAAACTTTATATTTGAAAATAACTTTAACTATAAACCATATCCAAAATAACAGTACATGTATCTACTAAAACTAAATATCTTCAAGAGACATTACATCCATATAAGCAGTGTGCTTATGAAAAACCTTAGGTATCAATCACTTAGTAAGTGGATCTGCAACCATGGAGTTTTTCTCAATATGCTTTATTGACAACTGTCCATTCAAAAGTTTTTCTTTAACAGCCAAGAACTTGATCTCTTTATGTTTCGACTTCGTCGAGCTTCTATTTTTATTTGAATACAGCACTGCCAATTCACTGTCACAAAATATCTTGAGCAGTCTTTCTATATTGTCCACAATGGTTAGCCCAGTGGCAAAGTTCGTGGTCATATTTCATGATTTGATGCCTCATAACACGCTATAAACTCCACTGCCATGGTGGAACTAGCTATGAGTGTCTGCTTAGCATTCTTCCAGTAAATAGCACCTTAAATATAGTCTGAAGTGGATCTTCTACAATCTTGACATCCCACAAAATCGGAATTAGAATAACCGACGATCTTCCAAATCAACACTCAACCCTTAATTCTCTCTGGTGATG